TAGCAATCTGAGCAATGGTATAACAATCTGAACAATGGTATACCAATCTGAGCAATGGTATAACAATCTGAGTAATGGGATAACAATCTGAGCAATGGTATAACAATCTTAGCAATGGTATACCAATCTGAGCAATGGTATATCAATCTGAGCAATTGTATAACAATCTGAGTAATGGTATAACAATCTGAGCAATGGGATAACAATCTGAGCAATGGTATAACAATCTGAGCAATGGTATAACGATCTGAGCAATGGTATACCGATCTGAGCAATGGTATAACAATCTGAGCAATGGTATAACAATCTGAGCAATGTTATAACAATCTGAGCAATGGTATAACAATCTGAAGTGCAGCGTACAAATACCGGTCTGGCCCCACTTGATGTTTTTACACTCAGAACACTGTTATTGATTATATTTTGTTTATTTTACCTTCAATATTTCTTACAAAATTCCAGCAAGGTATGGTTTTCTGTTCAGTAATGATTATCAGAGCTATACTATAGTTGTGCCAGAAAAAACAGTTTCCAATACTTAGTCACAATTTTTGGCGGTGGAACAGGGATCCTTAAAACGGTGTGGCAACATTTGGGGGCTAGGACTTATTATTAAGTATTATGACATAAACTTAACCTATACTACAACATTTTTGACACATAAATTACTTATTTTTATCATTTTTGTTGGCCTGGAAGGTAAGCGCATAGAGGGGCTAATTGTGGGAGGAAACTGGACCACCCGAGACCCACTTAGCTGTGCTGGTGACCCAATATCTCTTCATGTCCAAGTTGGGAATTGCAAGTGCGCTATCTATTATGTCAGTCGAACATCTCAAATTTGTTTCCAAATGCCATTATTTACTACCACAATTCACAGAAAACAGAAAAGCAAGACAAAAATATATAAGAGTATAGTCTGGGAACATTAGAGTTATGATGGTCAATTTTGTAAGATTTCTATCTGGCCAGTTATACCCCCTTCACACAGGATAGTGACCTTTTGGCCTCCCTTGTGCGACCATGAGTACTAGCTATATTACTACCACCTGTATCATATAGAGAGTTAAGATGCTAGATAAAACAGCAGAGATATAACACTTTCTTCTATAGTATTTTTTTTCCATAAGCCATATGCATCAGGTTATAAACTAATAATAACCCCCTCCACTTCCAGTGTACAGCTGGTGAGAGAACATTTAACATAACCCCCTCCACTTCCAGTGTACAGCTGGTGAGAGAACATTTAACATAATTAGTCACTTGATGTGAATTTTCTGGGAAGATCCCCTGTCATGGGTGACCGATCAAAACAGGAATTGTACATGTATTCTAAAACTCCTTAACAACACAAACAAATGTTACTGTATATGAACTGTGTTGTGTTAATTACAAGGATAACAAGATACCATAGCACCTAATTCTGACTGATATGTGGATTGTGTCATTTCTTTATTTTCACTGCTCTTTCTTACAGTTATTTACTCCATAAAGAACTTAATACATTAATGTAGATATCATTTGTATTAGTGGAATATGGCATAGCTGTCAAACCTCCCTCATTAGGAGAGAGACTCCCTCGTTTTGACCAAAATCTACCAATCTCCTCCAAAACTCCCTCATTCAAGTCACACAAACTCAAAATCTACATTCTGTGGTCAAATGATCTTCTTGTTACTGCAGGGTGGGTGTAATGATCATAACAGGTGTGTCTGAATCAAATAAATGCTTTTCTGAGTTATTTTGATACATAAAAAGGGAAAGATAGATTGAGCAAAGCATTTTCAGTCGCATTTCACTCACTTTCGAAGGATGATCGAAGGAACAGTTTTTAAGAAATTCAAAATTTCTCCTCCAGGAAATTTTAAAATTTCATTAAAGCAGACCTCATATGAAGTTTTATTTTCATTACAAAATCTCATTAATATATTTTATGAATATATTTGCCATTTTCAAATGTATTTGTCCCAGAAGTATGGCTGAATAATATTTCCAGGCAATGAAAGTTATAATTTAGATCCTATACCGATATATATACATAAGAAATTAATGAGAAACACAATGAAGGCTTGCCATAAAAGGCAACAAATTCTTCGGAAATTTATGTCATACTGCCCAAGGGAAATAGGGACAATTCTTGGAGAAGTGAATATCTTTCCGCAGGTGCCTAAACAAGCGACCCCTGTCTCCACATGTGCAGTGATGCATGAACCGCACACATGAACGCCTGTTGCCACCATTATTGGTGGGAAAGACTCTTTGATGAAGTTAATGGGTCCACTGTTTCCGCTAAAACTTCATCTAATCTGCCAAGGAACCTGTTAATAATTAACTGCTTATTATCTTATCGTTTGATCAGACTATAAAACTGTTTTGCTGTGGCTCCGTGGACTGTCACTCGACAGACTCCAAAACCCTGTACAACCCTGACACTTTCACTGTCAGCATGTGTAAGGTATTGTTGGGTTGTAAAAATATATATTAGAATTTCCCTAAAATATCAATAAATGTATAACTAATTTAAAACCAGGAGTAACACAATGAAATAAAGATAATTATTTCAAAAACATCTCAGATTCAATTAAGATAATAAAACAATGGATTGAGAACAGGAAACAGAACCTACTGATACCAATATACAACATTGTTTTTATACTACGTCGTTATATGCAGTGTTGAGAATTGTCAGAGTTTGAGGGCTCTGGGGATTAATCCAGACTGTATGGTATGTTTGTGTTTTACATCCTATAAACAGCTATGGTCAATTAAGGACGAGCCAGGTTGTGTTGGGGGTGGGGGTGGTGGTGGTGGTGGTGGTGGTG